CAAAAATTCCTGGTTAAATTCCTAGCAATGAATTTTCTCGAAGTTTTGGCTTTCTCAGAGGGTTGAATAGGAATAAAATACTATATTGTTTCGAATGACATATAACAAAGGGTCTTTTGCTGGATGAAGAATTTAATTGTTGTCATTTTTAGGGAAGAATCTCAAGATTGCGATAACTAAAATCAATTTTTCAGATTGCTACCTTTTCTCATATTTCAAACTCCAACCATTAACTTTTGACTAGCTCTTGCTCGCATTTTGGCCCAACCACAGAAGAAATTTGATGACATTCTCATGCTAATGAGGAAGCTCCGCGCCAGAGATTGAAAGCACGATAATTTCTGGTAATCCCGTAGCTCATTCAATGTGATATAAATAGAAGATCCTGGTTTTTCTCCCTTCGCCGTGCTGGTGAAATATTTGATGAATGATTTTTACAAGTTGTACGCGATTTTGTGTGTCTGGTGGAAAAATTGCCACGAGGCACGTTCCATGGAGGAGGGATGATCACAACAAAAATTCATTCTGTATAGAAGAGTTCCTTGGCTTAAGCCATCCTCTCGTCTTGTATATGAGGCCACGAATTTATTTATTGCGGTATGTGATGTCTGTTCCTTTTTGTACACCATTTTTCCGTATCATCTCGCACTTTGGACATTGATATAGTAGAGAGACGTCGCATGTGGATGAATTTTTCTCACTTGCCATAGAAGGGGTGAAGAATGAGAAGTCCAGTGTGGTTGAGCTTTAAGGACATCTCCAGACCTTGTATGTGGAAAGGATAAGGAAATAGAATTGGTCCTTTTTACGATCCAACTATGAAGTCATAAACTCAATGGGAATAGTGTGTAGTGCTTCTTGAATACAGGCTGAGGACTTGGGACGAAAGTCATAGCCGGAGAACATGAGTTTAAGAAGGAAAAGGAAAGCCATGTATATATTGGTGTCCGATAGATAGAAATAAATGCTACATACAATGCGAATGGTGAGTCGCTACTGCGAATCTGGGGATAGATGAAGAAATTGTGGGTGTCCCTTTTGTGTGGAGAATCATGCCTTCACCACACAATTCCAATTCATACATTTATTATTACATGTGAAAGGGGATAGAATTCATCCGTTTTTGGCTCATCCATCCCGCCAGAAACCTTCCTTATTACACACACACACACACACACACACTCACGCGCGTTGTTTGGACCTCAGTCATGAATTCAACCTATTGAAATACGGATTAGATCCATTATTCCCTGCAATTCAATTCAAGTTGTATTGATGAAACCACAGAAAATGAGGATGAAGTAGAAACGGAAGAAAAATAATTAGCGCACTTTTCCTACTCATCTTTACACACTCAGAGAAAATTGAGACCAGATAGATTTTATTGTGAACAAAAATAGAAGCTTCACCCTTTCAGACTAAGTTCAGATTTAAATACTATCAATCTTGGTTTCAATTCAATTTGACCTAAAAAATCCTAGACTCAAACTGTGTTCACATTCATGCAATATTAAAATTAAATTATAAATTTTTTTTTATTTAAGAACCCCAGAGATAGAGGAGCAAAGAAAGAATCGTAAAATGTTAGATCAGTTCTTGACCAGAAAATCCTTATAAATCCGATTAATCTTCCAATAATAATACGCTCAATTCTCTCATCATCTGCGGTGATGAATAACTCAGTGGAACCTTTGATTTTTCCGTTTTCCAATTTTATCACTACAAGAGACTAAAACTTCGCTTTTCATTCTCATTTTTCCCCTATCTTTAATTTTCACATTCCATTTCCTCTATCGTCACTTAGAAAATGGTTTATCATGGCGATTTTTCTTTCCCCTTCTTCACTTCTTTATCCATTTTGTCGCCCACAAGTGTTGGATAGACGACAGAATTTTTGCTGACACTCTAGTTTTGCTATTATTATTGTTTACCATGAGCGAGGGAGATATATAGCAAAAGTATATATTCAAAGATAACCATGCCTTTTGAGTGTTACACATATCTCTCGGCTGAATTGGAAGAATATTTTTTTGGGGTTTTTTTAAGACCTTCCCAAAGGGTAACTTATCAAGGGATGAAAAGAATTTCATCTCCCAGTATTTGCTATTTTTATGCAATAAAAATAGAGGCGAAATGGGAGATTATTTCACGTTTGGTGTTGACAAAATATGTACAAGGGTCTTCTAACTGAATTTACAACATTAGGTTCTGTTTTTAATGTGGCCGAAATTTGTTGTGAAGGAATGAGAATCCTCAAGTTTCACAATTCCTTACATTAATTCTCTGTTATCTTGAGTTCAGCATGTTTTATCCAGAGTTATGGTTGTGTATGCTCTTAATATACATACTCTGATATTTTGGTCCGTTTGGCATGTGCAAAAAGGCCAAGAGAGGGTGTGTTTCGGGTAGATGGAATAAAAGTTGATAAAAGAAGAGCACAGGAAAAGGGCAATAAAGGCAAATGTTTGGGGTGTGGAAGAGAAATAAAATGTTGTATAGTAAAAGTAATAATTTTCTTTGAAAGGAACCATGGAAGATTGAATGAAACTTTCCTCTTGTTTTACATTATAACTTCTCGCCAGTTTTTTTTTTCATTGCATTATTACCAACTTTCCTTCTTCCCACTCTCTGTGTATATGTACATACATTATACTCCGTACTGATGCTTCCTTATGAATGTACAGCAATAAAAATTCAACCCAGAGTGATTCGAGGGGGTGAATTTTGGGGGGGTAACTCGAGGAGTTAACAAAAAGCTTATAGAGACACTCAAAGAGAACGATAGAACAAGTTATTATCTTTTGACTCTATTTATCCTATCAATTTGCTCGTAATGAACATCATCATTTTCCGAATAATCATTAAATGGAAATTTTATCTCTCATTTTACCACACAGAATTACCCTCTTTGCAACAATACGAATATTTTTCTCAATCGTAAATGTTTTTCTTACTCCTTCGTTTGCTTTTATGTCTCATTTCTCTCAGTTAAAATGTCAATAATGCTGACAAGGATTCATTTCAATATGTTGATTATACTTTAATGGATTTTATTATGTGCAGTTTGTTGTCTTTTATTCATTGAAAATGTGTTTTATTAGTCTAGCTTTTAGAATCCGAATGAGAGCTCATTGTGAGATATGAGCTTATGAAAATCCTTAATTTTCTCTTCCACCTTATATAAATAAATGTTTTCTCATGGCAGTGCATTGCACAAAAGCAGTACAGCTTTTCCACCACATCATTCACAATTCACTTATTTCAATTTTTCACCACTCAGCATTCCGCACAGCTATGATGTTTTAAAAGTCATGTATAAATGCATACATGTGCCTAAAGTGCGAGGGTGGGTTCTTGAATGAATGCTCCAGGAGAGTCAGAATAAGCCAAAGAACACTGCGTGTCTTTCCCACAACACTCACCGAATGAATTGAGAGTGCTGGGATAGAGAAAGGACCTAATGCACATGAATCTTTAAGGAATATACATATCTATTTTATGTATATTAAAAGAAGAGTACTATATTTACATGCAAGTGCATGTGGAGCATTGGCCGCTTGAAAATGCAGTGCTTGTCGAGTAAATTTGAATGTCAGTAACTTTTACCAACACCCACACAATTTTACTTCTTCCCTTCTTTTAACCACACATACAGACAAGGAGGTAAATTAAAGGGACGACATGAAACTAAGCGTGAAAGGTTGAATAGCACACGAAGAATGAATAAGAAAGGGCATTTTCTCTTGTCAATGACATGCACTATACATCATCTATAGTGCAAACTTTTATTCAAATTTTAATGCCAAATTTTTAATTTATGATAAAAGGAAACACGTGCTCAACTGTATTAATTTGATGTGAACAGAAATGCACACAATTTAATTGATGTCGCTGCAAATGTCGGGTACTTCTGTGCGACTCATGCATATCAGAAAAATTCACTGGAGGCACAAACGCACACTCACTTTTACACCGAAAATTAATTCAGCATTCGTGTTCGGGTAAACTTTTCCAACCATATTGCAATTTATCTGTGGGTGGCGGGCGAAGAGTGAGTGGCGCAGCCAAGGATGCCGCGCAGGGAGCAAAATAAGCACCTATGAGAGTGCTTCCAGTGTATAAAATATTGATGGTTTTAACGTGTTATGCACGTGGTTGGGGTGAAAAAATATTTATTTAATTATACACATTGTACATTGAGACTCTAAAAGTGTTGCATGTCTCATTAAATTTTCCAATTTTCAACTCTACACCATTCCTCCTGCCTTTTCCACCCCTCGCATACAACCTTATCGCTATGAGTATTTTTTCCACTCGCCGTATTTTGCTTGTTTTCCACTTTGCCATGCATTTTTGTGTGAGATTGCCTCGCCATTTGATATTATAGAGAGCGCAAAGGTAAATTATATTGCTATAAAAGTCACGAATACGTCTAATTTCCCACAGTTTCCCTTTTCCGCCATTTATGGACAAGGTTTCAGCATTCACCCCTTCAATTAATAATTTCAAAAAATATGTGACTCTGAACTGCATAATTAAGTGTGAGGAGAACAAATACTTGTAAGAACCAAGTACATTGACTTGCATTTTACAAACAAGTGTTTTTGTTTTGCCTAGCAATATGGCAGCAAAGTGCGGAAATTTGACATTTGTACAACAGAGCTTGATGGGTTCTTTATTTATTATACAAGTGTAATACTTCAACTTAAGTGCACATATCAGTAAAATTAGACGAACCCTATAAAGGACTCAATCTTAAATAATTGAAACAATTGAATAATCCGCAAAAGCTCAGCTCTCAAGAAGCTAATCAAAGCTTTGGCTTATCAATATACTTTTAATTTGATTTTCATTACAGTGAAGAACTTTTCAAGTACAGTCAAAGAAACTTTACCACATCAACTCTGTTTCAACACAGACTAAGTGTATTGTGTCCTTTCTCTTTTTTCTGTTTGGAGGGGGGATAATTTCGAACGGAAGGAGCCTTAATTGATATTTACCTTAATAAATCGCTTCGCTTTAGTGAGAAGACCTAGTGTTGTGTGTCGTGAGGCATCCGCCCCCAAAGGTACCATGTCTTTTAATCTCTCCAAACAATTTCTTAGATGCGCCCTCCTGTAAAGACATAGAAAACAATACACACAACATTAATCGTTGACAATAAAATCAATACAGCTCATTTTACTAATACATGGAGTTACTTTATTATGCTTCACATGCCACGCGCTGAAGCCCTTCCACCTTTTGTGTGCACCCTCTATTAGGGGCGGGTGTGGAGATAGGGGAGAATGGAAAATATTGCGCAAGGTATTACAATGTTGGATCTCGCTATTCAATTTAACTTCCATTAAATTCTATTTGTATTTTAGACTTGATGATGATGGCTGATGGAGTGGGTGGCAAATACCCTGTTTGACGATGCCTTCGCTCGATTTCCTCGCTCAATCCCCATTGTCTCACTCACTCATGCACACTCTCTTTCTAATTCTGCGTCGCTTTCAATAAGAGCGGCCCGTTCCCACCCCGCACACTCAATAACTGTTACATCTGAAAACAGTCAGATTTGTCGAGCACATTCTACACATTATAATTTTCCAATAATCATGGGCTTTGCCATCGCTTCTGAAAGTTTGATTTTTTTAAAACCATGAATTTCGTCTAATCATTTTTCACCCCCTTTTTACCCAGTGACCGCTGCCGTGAATTTTCTGCTGATCCCATAATAGTGGTGTATTGAAGCACACTAATAACATCGCTTCCCATAAAATAACTATATAAGTTGAACTCCAAAAGCTCCAATTAATTTTTTTTCGTTCCCTTTCGTGACCACGTTATAAAATTTTCTGGCCATTATTTTAACACCACTTTTCACCCTCTCCACACAGTGACAATTTAAGAGAAAATACACTGAATGTGGTAGCGATAATGGTAAATACTATTGTCAGAGAAGCACATGTGTACAAGGTGAAGCACAGAAACCATCCCGACGAATGAATTTGATTTACTTGATTTAGTAAAAATCTCAATTCAGCACAATATGCACATCTCAAAAGAATTAGCCAATAAAATTTTGAAGAAACACGAGTAACGAGTATGTACATTAGACTATACGAACATTAGATTGAGGGATGAGAAAAAAAACTCGTAAAGTATTTATGCTGCATTTAAGTGATTTCGATATTTATCCATTAGCGTAAAAGCTCCCCATACAAAACCCTCACACCATGCAATTACCACCATACCGCACACACATAGAACAAGAGAAAGCTTTTTAGCACCAAACAAACCCCCACTTGTTTATGTTTCTATTTTGTCGTCGAACCATTTTGGGTGTATTTTTGCTTTTTCTGTTTATATTTTCATTCTACTGCATTGCTAATTGATTGCCGTGAATGGTGTGTGACGGCAAATTGGGAAATTCAGTTGAGCGTAGTAAGAAAAGGAAATATTTTAATTAAACTTTTCCCAGTTCTACAGTTTGTCCTTTGAGTGTTTTGTCGGGATTATCTGGGGAAGTTTTTGGATGTACTGTCACAAAGGCTTTATCATTTGTCGAAAATTAAAACTTATATAAAAATTGTTATTGTAAATAATAGAGTAGGTATTTAAAAAAAATTACATGTTCAGAAATCCACTAAAAATATGATAGATAATATAGAGGTTGCGCAAAAAGATAATGCTCAGGGACTAAATAGATTCAACATCAATCAAGAGTGTCTTTCACCCCCTACGAAGAATTTAGACCTCCAACTTTTTCACCTCTCATCTCTCACTGGTGCGTATCATCAGACAAACAGGAAATTGCTGTTGTGAGAAATTGAATCAGGGTCACACATGAAACGGAATCACGAGGGTAAAGAGAATATCATGAGTGAAGGAATCAAACAATCAACATTTATTTTGGTCAATCAATCCTCCAACCCTGATATTTCATATATAAATTGTATTAGTTCTAACCATGTTATTGTATTCCATCCAATATTTCTTCAATCAGCCATTACGCATCATTCTCATTCGGTCTCTCCGAGCTGTCGTGACACCCTCGAAAGCTATGTGTAATGTATGTATATCGATAAAGTCAAAAATAGAAATTTGCCACCCTGCGATTCTCTATTCTTCCCCAAATTCCATGGTGAACGCAGAAAAATGGGGAAAGACACTGAAATTGAAATAATTCAGCATGAATGCGGAAGCCTTTTCGCTGTGACGTGATCTTTGATGTTGAGTCATCGCCTCAAGGGGGCTCCGGATGAAATTGTTCTATTTGATTTGTTTGATTCACTGAGCTTCTGTCAATGTGACTGATCCAGAGGTGTGACAAGGGGTGGCTTGAATTTTCCACTCCTCCCATCGAGGATATGATATATGGTGTGATGTGAATGTTCGCACGAGGAAATTATAGTAGATTCACGTATATTTTTGGGCCTTTCGATGCCACGGTGCTGAGCAAACAGGACTTTGAAGCTTGACTGCACTCAGAGTGTTCTTTCGCATAGTCACAAGGCGTCACATTGTGCCATATCCTTTTGTCTGTGCGATAGTGAATATATTTAAATAAGGAAGACGACACGTAGCACAAAGTAGTGAAATTGAAGCCCAAGACAGAGGGACTTCAATCAAGTGTCGTCTCGACGGTGAAGCTTTGGCGAATTTCACATACGAGAATGAATCGCTGGGAATTTCTCAAACTCTTTGCCATTTCTCCAAAGGAAAGGGACTCTCTGCCTTTGGAACGTGGCCAAAGGAAATGAAAGGAAAGAATTTCCTCTTTTTACCCCTTTTCACCCCTTGGTGTGTGAAATCACGATGTGTGGTTAACTTTGCGTGCTCTGCACAATACAACTATTCTTGCCGCTTGCAGAGTTGAGAGCTAATTTTTATTTATCTCTTGCTAAGGAGCCAAAACTGTCTTAAATTGCTGAATGGTTGATTCTCACCCCTCCTTTCCCCTTGTGCGGTCTCTTATCGCACTCAAATGGGCATTTCAGAGAACAAGGATAGTTGTGCCACATGAAACTCGGGAATAGCGTCAGACAGTTCTTGGTTGAAAAATGAAATAGATTGAGAGTGAAAACTTGGCACGGACATTAAAGAATATTGCTTAATTTTCAACCGTTAGCACTCAACAAATCAAGATTTCGGCCATTTGGGCAGTTTTTATGATAAATTGTCCTCTTGTGAAAGGGATTTTTTTTAAATAGATGTTTCTTATCCCTCTGTAATCTCTTGACATATGGACTTGAATTTTCAATTATTTGTCCATAATTCTGTTTGGTCACAACATAATGAGCTGATCGTTAATCTTTTCTGGATTGGGTCGTGATCTCGATGATGTAGTTATGGTTTATTATCAGACATTTGGTGGCTCACAATTTTATGTATTGAAAATATTTCGATATTTTGAATATGTTCGCAAACCAACAAGGCAAAATATTGTGAAATTTAGTTTGCAAAATCTTTTCTGACATGCTCAATCGCTAACATTCTATGTCTGAACAAAATCATTGTTAATTTTCTTATTCTGTTAAATTACAAAATTTAATGCTTAATCTTCATCTTGACGTCCGCAAAGGAGAATGGCATTCGCATCGTTTCCCAGCAGAAAATTCCTTTGCTCTGTAAATTTTCATGCGAAATTGGGTTCTATTACCATGGGAATACTGAAAAGCCCACGAAGTTCGCAAGCTTTACCCATCTTTTTTCACCTTTCCTCATGGCATTCGAGATCGTTTCAGTGTTGTCAACTGTCTCTTGCGAGTGACTCGCAATGCTTAAGGCGTGGAAGTATAAAAAAGTATACAATTGAAGTTGGGGAGCCCCATAAAATCAATAGTTTATTTGATATTCATTTTTGTGGGGAAAAAGCCACCCTTAAACCACAACACAGGCGAAAACACCTGAGCCGAATTGATTAATTTCAATTTCTTTCCCATGTCCTATGGCCAAAAAGTGGCAGGTGGTTGACCACACAAATCATCCGACAACCCAATATTCCTCGGGTTTGATCAATATAATGCTAATCTTCCCGCCGGGGAAACTCATTCTCAACCAATCAATTGCAAATCCAAGCCACAGGTTCACTGATAAATATAACAAGTTGCATTCACGCAACATATATCTTTGTGCTCTACATTTTCTCCAAACAAATAATTAAGTGATGCACCCTAAAGATTCCATCTCGAAACAGATTTCAAGTCACGTTCAACTCGGAAAGTTGATAGGTAAGTGGAAAATTTCTTCCTAAAGAGGAAATGTGCAGTGAAAGACACTTTGGGGGAAAATATACTTTCCAATATACAGTTCTTCAATATTGTAAATCTTTTTGCACCAGATATCCGAAGATATTATAATCAAAGGAAAATGCACAAAAAACTAATATTTCTATTCGATATCTTTGAATTCTTCTGCACCTTTCACAAGACCTCACATTTGGCATTAAATTATCTACAATGCGCTATTCAGAACGTGTATATTTGAGAAAAAGTTTTGTTTTTAATAAATCCCCAGTCAAGTGAATGTAATTTAGTCTTTATTTTTCGCCCTATTGTATTTTCTGACGTGAAACTACCTTCGAGTGGAAGTATTTCTTTTTTACTGCGAGTGCATTACAGCGAATCTAGCACTTTTTTGGCTTTATCTCTTATATGATTTTCCACGCTACCAGGGAAAATCTCATAACATTTCTGTACAACTTGATTGTTATGTACAATGAAAACATGTAATTTGAAGAGATATTTAATGATTTCGCCTCTCCTTTCGGTCAGACATTTCGGTCTTTTTCCAACGGGAATGAAAGAAAATTCAGTTCACTTAAAAAATATACAACAAAGAGATACAGGAAACATCATTTCATGCCATTTCCCCATGCAATTGGACGATGTCTGAAAGACACATCATGAAAATTGCGGAAACTGTAATGAACTGCAGGGTTGTTGGGGGGAAAACTACTGCTTTGCATGTATCAATTGTACATGTTTATTAACATGAATGTGCATTTGACGATAATAGGCAAAAATAATTTTATGGTTCCCCGAGGGCAAATGCCGCTATTGATCAGATATTTATTTTCATGTTCTATATATTTTTGCAACCAATTAAATATTTATTATCAATTT